TCCATTCTAAGCACAAAGTAAACATTTGCAAGATTAAAAAAAAAATATTTTTTATTGATTTCAGAGAGGAAGGAAGAGGGAGAGAGACAGAAACATCAATGATGAGAATCATGGATCGGCTGCCTCCTACACGCCCCACGCTGGAGATTGAGCCAGCAATCTGGGCATGTGCCCTGACTGGGAATGGAACTGTGACCTCCTGGTTCATAGGTCGACACTCCACCACTGAGCCATGCCAGCCAGGCCATTTGCAATATTAAAATAATAATAATAATAAATGCAGGGATATAAGGATGCCTTAGGAAAAGATGGAAGGTACAGAAGCTAAAAGTACTAACAAACAAATGACCTCCCAGGTGGCTTTGCAGCCCGTGTGGGGGGGTGTCTCCTGAGGGGTGGTGGGGTGGGGTGGGGAGAGGAGATAGATGCAGAGTGAGTTTTGGGGTCCGAGGGAAGCCCACGGGTCTCGTGCGTTTCTGTGTCTCTGCGAGGAGAGGCATGGCTGTCTAGGAGAACTGGCACACGAGTTCATTTCTTTCCTAGTTCCCTCGTTTCCAAGCCAAGGGAGCTGCCTCTTCCAAAGGCCTTCCCACTCGTCATCATTAAGATGAAATGACAGTTATGCAACTCAGCCCAGCAAAGGAGCCCGCACCACGTGTGGCCCCCAGAGAGAGGAGTCCCGGGCAGAGATCGCTGTGCCAAGAGGAAGAGCCACTCGGTGGATGAGAGAAAGGCACCCAGGGCCAGTCTCAGGACAAAGACGTCACAAAGAATTAAGTTCTCGTGCCTAAAACTTACTAGTATTATTACGTGTGATCACCAGAAAGGAGAAGGAAAGAAAACAGCCTAGGACAGTGGTCGGCAAACTCATTAGTCCACAGAGCCAAATATCAACAGTACAATGATTGACATTTCTTTGGAGAGCCACATTTTTAAAAATTAAACTTCTTCTAACGCCACTTCTTCAAAATAGGCTCGCCCAGGCTGTGGTATTTTGTGGAAGAGCCACCCTCAAGGGGCCAAAGAGCCGCAGTTTGCCGACCACAGGCCTAGGAAATTTGAAATTCTGCTCGGGGGGTAAAAAAAAAAAAAAAAGGATTCTTACTTTTCGGCCATGACCTGATAGATGTGGAATTTGCTCATGAATGTCACCTTCGTACATACCCACCTCGCCTTTGTCAGATGGCTTTGTTTCCTGAGCTGACCTCCTTTCATTACTTGGGATGTAGACATGACTGTCTTCCCTGAGAACGTGCGGTAGGAGAGGCTGAGGCTGAGGCTGGAGGTCAGGCCTGGCTGTGGGTGACACTGGCGCATGTCCCGCTCTCTGGGGACGGTCGCTGAGGGCATCAGAGCGGGACCGTGCCAGGTGGCGAGAGGAGAGGGACAAGGCACGTTCTCTGTCAGTGGGACTCCGTTCACTGCCACTCACGGCATTTCAGTCCGCAAATCCCGACGCCGTGCAGCCATGAGGATGGAAATGAAGTTCGGAGTGGCAACGGCACGCTTCAGGGAAAACAAGTTGTCTCTGCCAACTTACGTTCACCACAAACACTGCTTAGTGTGCGATTCTCACGGCCGGCTTGGTAAATCCAGGATACGCCTCTGTTTACGGTTGTTGGAAACCCTTCAAAGCAGGTATTTTCTTAGACAAAGAACCTTTAGATACAGTGGAACCATCCACTTGTGGAGCCTGAGCCTCCTCGCTTCACTGGCATTGACCTTTGCACCTGCGGTGACCTCTGCCCCTGGCTCCATGTCAGCCGCCCCTTGGGCCTCGTCACCTCCGGGAGAGGCTCCATGTCTACAACATCGCATCCTGAGATCCGGTTCTCTCAGCCGGCCTCACAGACCCTCTGCTGGTCATCCGCTCCCCTCTGTGCCCACTGACTTGTGGAATCAGCTTGGATTTGTGGCCCAACGCCTGAGTCACTCTATTGTCTGTGTCCGGACCCACCTGTCGGGGCGCAGCTGGCCGACCTGCAGAACCTGCTGGAGGAGGTCATTCAAGCACAAAGCTTTGTGCCTCTGACTCTGGGGACCTGGATGCCCCCTCCCCCTGCCTGGCCGATGCCTACTGAACCCTAGAGTCCATTTCCCACTAAGTCTTCCGAGCTCCCTGGTTTAGGAGCTAATGCTGAGCACTTTCCTAGCGACCTGTCTGTCACTGTCACCGCAGCGTCACCCTGGGCGAGAGGGCTGTTCCTCTCTGTCCCTGCCTCTGTCCCTGCTGATGCTCAGCTCTTTGAGGAAAGGCACCTTCCTCATCTCGTATCCATTCTTGCATCCTGTTTGCCTCTTGTATCTCATGACCCAGTGAAACAACCACCAACCTGTAGACAAATCCGTTTTAAGTGTCCGTGGACTCCACCAAGTGTCACACTCAAGGGAAAGGTTCTGTTCCTCGTCCTGGAGGATTCTGTCTTCATTCACGGGCAAGAAAGAGGCCAACGAAGCGATCAGACTCTGTCCAGGAGTCCAGGTTTTTCATGGTATGTAAAGTTCGTGAGGAGTCAACGCCTGGTTTTGGAATTCAGTGTCGTGTTAGCTTAGGATGCGTGGCCCGTGGGTGTTTTGTGATCCGTGATTGCATGTGAACCGTGCTAAGTGTCACTGTGAGAGGTGAGGCAGGACAAGAGTCAGGCTCGGGCGCTTTTTCCGTGGGCACTCCTGTGTTTACCAGGGACCCTGTCTTCCGGATGGTTCATGACTTCTTGGCACAATTTCTTATTATTTTAACATTTTCTATTTTTCTTTGTAGTCAGCAGTTTACATTTCAATAATCATCACTTTCATATTTTTTTATTATACCCGTGGGATGTAAGCTCCATTTCATTTTACTATTTTTCAGATAATTAGAAGCAACGGTATGTCGAACCATTTAAATAGCATTGGATACTAAATCTAAACATGTTGAAACCATAGCATAATTTTTATTTATTTATTTATTTATTTATTTATTTATTCATTCATTCATTTATTTATTTTTCCTTTTCATTACCATAGTTATTATTATTATTATTATTATTTTAATAAAACTTTTTAATTTGTCCATTACAGTTGGCATATAATGTGAGTTTCTGGCACAGACCTAGGGACCAGGCACCTATGTCACTTGGGAGGCAATGAGAGAGCGTGTGAAAGGAGCAGGGCAGCCGAGCAGATGTGGGGGGGAAGCTCTTTGGGCCTCTGCAGAGGGCAGGTCGGACCACACTCCACGGAGAAGAGCTGTCGACGGCTTTCTTTGGGCAAGACAGAGTCTGCTATTGGTGTAAGGGGCGCCATCTCGTAACACCTGGCGGGGCGATGTGCCAAGAAGGACAAGGACGTGGGTTTTCAGCCCCGCCCCCCCCCCCAGCACCTGAGGCCCCGGGCGGGCGGGTGTGGCAATGCAAACGTGTCCCAGCTGCTCCGGAGCTGAATGGGGCTGAAGGGCGCTGCTTCTCGGGCCGGCCTCACCCTGATCAGATGGATAAGAAGGCCTTGGCAAAGACTCGCTTTCTCCCCTGCGGGCCGATTGTTGGGAAGGGAGTCTGGAAGACTTCGTTAAATGTTTGCTGGAACCTTCCGTGGGGATGTGGGATCTTTTCTAGGTAACTGGGCCATCGGCAACTCAGTGTCAGGCATCTTCCTTTCTGTAGTCCATGCAGCCTTTTCTGCTGGGGACAGTTTTCCCACAGCCCAGCGTTAGAATAAGACATTCTGAAGTGTTTCCTGGCCGGTGTGCTTGGTGGTTGAGTGTCAACCTATGAACCAGGAGGTCATTGGTTTGATTCCCGGTCAGGGCATTTGCCCGGGTCTTGGGCTCCATCCCCAGTGTGGGGCGTACAGGAAGTAGCCGATCAGTGATTCTCCCTCATCATTTATGTTTCTATCTCTCCCTCTCCCTTCCTCTCTGAAATGTGTGTGTGTGTGTGTGTGTGTGTGTGTGTGTGTGTGTGTGTATTAATTTTGGAGTGTTGTTAGCAATGGCTAAGGTCCACGAAGGTCCCACAGCCACACGCTCATGGTCTTGTGCAGGGGGCAGCAGTTTCACTGCCAAATGAGAAGGCGGCTGTGCAGTGACATTGTTGGTGCCGTTAGGTCCTCCTGCGGTGGACGCTCTCAGCAGTGAAACGTCGCACCTTCAGGAACCACAGAGACCAGGAGGCAGCTGCATTCCTGGTCTTTTTGACGCCATTGTCTTCCACACGCCCCCTGTCCTGGCTCTGCTTTGCAAGCCTGCCTTTGAGCCGGAAGGATTTCTCTCCACGTAAATGTCTCAAGCGTGGCTCCGGCACATCCATCGCCGCTTTGCTTTTGAATTATGAAGTTCACCTTAAGACGCGGGCCTTATGTGGGCACCGCGCTGCCTGAAGATGGGGAGCCAGGGCGTGGGGGTGGGGGTGGGGGGAAGGTGATAGCAGAGAGGATGGAGGGGATGAAAAAATGGTTCTTTCCCATTAAACCGGACCTGATGTTGTTCTCTGTGAAGCAGGCAGCAGCTGGAAGAGAAATACCTTCTCGCCCACAGACAGGCTGATGGCGAGGGCAAGGGGAAGTGTGGAGGGGGTGGGGGTGTGCATACGGGTCCTATTGCATCCGCATCTCAGGTGGGACTCATGCCACGGTGATGGCTGCAGATGCTTACGCGGAAGCCCTTCTGTGGGTGATGGCTCTGTGAAACCGGTTTGGCTCAGTGGATAGAGCGTCGGTCTGCGGACTGGAAGGTACCAGGTTCAATTCTGGTCCAGGGCATGTACCTTGGTTGTGGACACATCCCTGGTGGGGGGTGTGCAGGAGGTAGCTGGTCGATGGTTCTCTCTCATCAATGTTTCTAGCTCTCTATCCCTCTCTCTTCCTCTCTGTAAAAGATCAATTATATATATATATATATATATATATATATATATATATATATATATATATCTATTTTTTTTTCCCCTTAAAAAAAATAAAACACACCTTGGACTTCCCGCGTCCTCCTCTCCTCCACTTCAGCGCTGTGCTCTTCCTTGCAGGGCTGCCGAAGATGCAGGTCATCAGGAACTACGCCGGGACGCCGCCCCCCGCGCCCCACGAGGGGCCCCCGCTCCACATCCAGGCCGGGGACACGGTGGAGCTCCTGCGCGGAGACGCGCACAGCCTGTTCTGGCAGGTACGGTCTCAGGGGCGCCCGTGGACGGGAGGGGCGGCCGGGCACCGCGTGGGGGGGAAGCTGGTCCTTACTAACCTTCCTCACGTGGACCGGTGCCTGGTGGCAGTGAACGTGAGCACACGCCGGCCGCGTTCCCAAGGTGAGGCTCCGGCTCCGGCTGTCCTGGCTGGCGGGGCGCTGGGTCTGCGGAGGGTCCCCGGTCAGTCCCTGCTCCGTGGGCCGTGACGCCGTGATGGCTGCCTCACGTGTCTCGGGGCCCAGGCGTGTCCCGTGCCCTCCCGGGAGGGTGCTGATTTTTCCACCTGTCCGGCTTCTTACTTGTTGGGGCGGAATGATGACTTCTGATCATCTCACACGCGGGCCTGGAGGCCGCAGCCTCTCCGTACCACGCAGTGCTGCCGCCTCCTCCTCCTTAGACATCATCGCTTGTCCTTCCGCTCAGCGGACGGGAGCGTGAAGCCTCTGAGGGCAGAATGATGGCTTGGGAGCTCTCAGGAGGACTGAGAACTGGTCGATGACAGCGCGTGCGTGTCCGATGGGGGAGGGTGTGTGGCAGGAACAGGGGCAGCTCATGTCAGGACAGAGAAACACAATTAGCACGTCTGTTTCAGGCTGGCGAGGGCGTATTGAGTGTCAGCCCCATCTCCGCCGCTCAGACACGGCTGGCACTCCGTTACCAACTCTGACACCAGGTCTCCCGTCTCTGGAAAGACCGTTCACGCGTGCTGGCGCTAGCGATGTGTTTGAGCGTTCAGAGGCATGTTAGAAGCTCATGTGCGTTTCCGGCAAAGAGGTGGCACGAGTGGGAATTGTCCCACGGTTCCCTCTAAGCCAGTCAGAGAGATCGGCGCAAACAGGTGCTCTTCTCTGCTCTTGATCGAAAGGAGCTGGGCACGAGGAAGGACGGCTGGTTCAGGCCAGGCTTAAATGTCAACACATAAGCCCCTTCCAGGGAGTGGGCTGCAGTTGGTCTGGCTGAACCCAGGCGGGATCATGTGTCTAGAACCCCAGACCCATTTACTGCGAGCCACTGACTAGCTGACAAACCCATTGGGAAGGTCCCATTGTAGTTATGGCCATTAGCCCAGCTCACCGGTTAGTCAGTCACTGGTAATAAACCATCTCATTAAGGGTAGCTACAAAACGTGGTGTTACAACAAGGGCAGTGCTTTGGCTCCGATAATTACCAGACAAAAGGTACGTTTTCAAAGAACTAGGATGCAATTAACGTGTACTTGGCCACAGCCTTGTACTGAACTTGACTGACTTGTTTTCTTGGGTTCACAAGGCACCTTGAGGCCTTGCAATGCCCCCGGGCTGTCATGATACAGAATCAGGTTTTGTTTTGTGGTCGGTACCTGTGGCAGGCCCCCTTAGGAAACTGGCCCGAGTGTGGTCTTACCAATGGAATGTTCTAGAACGACGGACTCTTTCCTCCTGTGTGGAGAATGCTGCTGGTTGGACCCCTTTGGAGTCAGTGAGTCTGCAGGACTTTGCCAGCTCGTGCTCACAGAAGACGGGTGCCTCATGGTCTGCATCCTGCAGGAGCGACTCCTGCGCTGAGCTTCTTAAAACTGGCTTTGGAGCAGGGAGTGCCTCAGCACTGCTCTCGCCTGCTGCCCCGATGGTTCATCCTCATTTGAGGTTGCCGAAATCTCCACCAGAAGAGCGGGGGAAGGGGGTGGGAGGGGGAAGGCTCGTCTTCCCTGGGCTGGGAGATCGGAGAGCTCAGCTCACTTTGCTGAGGGCCAGTCACCAACTCTGCCATCAACCAGCAGAATCAAGTTCAGGAGATGCTAAAACCCCTGGCGGCCTTGGCTTCATCCTCTGCAAAAGGCAGAATAAAATAAATACGTGCTCATTACTGCTATGGAACAAAAGCTGTCATGGACACAAGAGTTCGATCGCAGTGCTCTTAAACGAATCTTCTCTCTGTCAATCCACTTATCATCCATCCAAATACTAATAACATGCCTACTATGTGTCCAACTCTGTGTTTCATACTGGCAGGACCCCCAACAAGACCACTGGTATCCAACCTCTTGGTCTTCACCATTTGAGGAATGACCAGAGCTCACCAATGATGAGATTTGTTTCTGTTCTAAGTTTCTGGTAGGGCGTTTGTCAATCACATCGTCACCTGTATATCCAGCAGTAAACCTGTGGAGAAGAATCTAGATGAGTTATTGGGATGGTACAGTGGCTTGGTGTTGACATTTAAACATGGCTTTTGTCCTGGTCACGTGCTTCGTCTTATTTGGAAATGTTCAAGAAACGATGCTTTGCTAACTAAACTGTTCTCCCCTCTGTTTTTTTGTCAAGTGAGTCACTTCCCACATTAGTGTAGAAAGTCGGATATTGTTGTAGACGGACACGTTTTCTGAATACTCTGTCCAAAGAATGCAAATCCTCCTCCTCTGTCTATCAGGAACTTTCTCTGAATAGCTATCAATCTCGTCTTATTATTATAACCACAGTAATTTCCAGTGCTATTGAAGTGGTGGGCTCTCTGCGGTCTTATTGTAACTTCTTTCCAACAACGAGCTGCCAATTAGCTGTAAAACGGTCTCTGTCACATCTTTGCATTGAGGAGACTTATTTGGCAACGTTTTGTTTCTCCTTTGTTCTCTTCTCTCTCCTTGAAAGTTCTGTGACATTGTCTTCAAGTGAAGTGAGGAGAGGAGAGGAAACGGGCCAATTAGGGCAGTTGCCCAGTTCCCTCGTGAGGCCTCCTTTGGACTGAGTGTGAGAAGGTGTAGAACAATCCTGATCCTGTCGCTGACTGAGGATAAACCTGCTGCTTTCAGGTTGTTCACAAGGACTTAGTCATGAAGGAGAACATGCTTCATGATGAAAGAGATTGTTCAGATAAGAAGCTTCATTTTCCCAGGAAAAAAAATACAGATTATCAGGGGTGGGGGTAGGGGATAGGGGGGAGAGAATGAGGGAGGGAGGGAGGGAGGGAGAAAGGGAGAGAGAGAAGGAGAGAGAGAGGGAGAGAGAGAGAGAGAGAGAGAGAGAGAGAGAGAGAGAGAGAGAGAGACAGGCAAATGTAAAATCATGCCATGTCATGTATGGTTTCTATACAGTAGAGTGCTTCATATGTGTTTTCTTCTTAGAATTAAGCTTTGTAACAGTGAGGGGTTTTATTGGCTCCACTGTCATTGATGAATGCCCAGTGGCCCACGGGGAGGATTTTGTAAGCTAGTTGGGACCAAAAGGCAATTACAAGCAGTAGAACTGTAATCATGGTGTCAAAAAATGTATTTTTATCCACTGTGAGACTTCAGTAACCTAGAAAGTAGTCATGACTCTTCACACTTGCAGACCAGGCATCCACATGGCCTTGAATCCAAGAAGCGAACATGTGTCTGCACACATTCTGATGAGTGCACAGACAGCCACGCAGAGGGCAGATTCACTCCTGGTTTTAAGATGCCAAGTGCATCCATCTATAGGACGGCATTTGCGGAATTAAAATTAGGCTCTCCCCAGACTTCCGGTCCCTTCCCCTCATCCCAGGCATTAGGAGATCCTCCTGTGCTCCAGAGGGTTGTTCGTAACAGCTCCACCTCTGAGGGAAGCACACCTTTCCAGCAGTTTCATTCTGCTTTGGTAGAGCCACCAGGAATCAGAACCTGGCTTTGTGTAGCAGTGTGTTGTTGCTTTAAACATTTTTGTAAGTTTTTGCCTTAAAGAAAAGAATGGAAAGTCAGGAAACAGGCTGAGCTTCTGGAGAGTCTCAGGAGGAAGGACTCACCCTGCGTACACGGATTCCAGAGGCCAGGAGCCTGTGGGGGTGGCGCTTGCGTTGGCCCAGGCAACAAGGTGTTAAACTCCGCTCGCCCACGTCTTCGCCCACAAGACCCTGGTCCCCAGTGCGGCAAGGTGACCCCTGTCTCCCGGCACCTTGTCCAGGATTTCTGCTTCCCACGTGACTGCTGCATTTCGTGTTCAGACAAACAACAGCCTTTTTTTTTTTTTTTTTAATAGATGTGTTTTTCTCACTTTAACCCGGGGGTGGGGGGGTGGGGGTGGGGTGGGAAATGAAGGGTTCATGGGAGGAGTCTTTTCCAGAAGAGGCATGTTTTCTCAGTCCTCAGTCATGGATGTATGTTTTACCTCCTGCCTGAAACGTCTTTCCACCTGTATTCTCTCAGCTGCGTCCTTCTTGATCATGGAGACTCAGCTCAGTTCTGCACCTTCTTTGAGCCAGAGGGGCTTCCATCAGACCCCCCACCACGCTGTACCCCAGTGGCCTGTTCACCCTTCTTCCTGCCTGGTTAGAGGACTCGGGAGAGCTGAGACCCCAGCTTCCATCTCTCTATCCGTCCTTAGATGGAAATAGGGCTTAGAACTGATCACTGTTCAGAGCTGCTATTTTCAGAACATGTTCTTTACAGGTTTTCACATTCGCTGTTTATTAACTCAAGTTACTCTCCGTGTTGTTATTTGAGAGACCATTAAAATATTCATCTCATCAGATCTAAATGCATTTCTGTTCCCTCGGGATAGTCTGAAAGCCATTTAACCTTGTGGCCTCAAATTCCTCACCAATGAAATGGGGATTTGAACACGTAAATGACGCACAAGGGTGGGGTAAGAAATCATAGGACGTAAACCTGAAAGAAAATGGAAAAGGAGAAAGAGTAGATGTCTGTGTGATAGCTGGTGACTTTGAAAGCCATTCTTCCTTTTCCAGGGGTGGGAAAATGATTGCCAGGTTGGTTTTTAATTTTTTTTTTTTTAAATTTCATCTTTCCATTTATAATTCCAAGAGTTTCATACATAGAAGACCACTCTACCCCCCCACCCCTATCCCTGTACTCAATTCTTAAAATTCTTTGATCAAGTGTTAAACGTTCTTTTTTATAATTAGACATAAAAGCACAAGCGAGGCATTCTTAAGGAAATAGTTGTCAACGAACAGGCTGAAATCCTGAGCCCAGCCCTTCATGGACCGTGAAGGAGAAAGAGGGACAGAAGGACAGACAGGTTTA